GATCGTGCAGGAAAAACCCGAATCAATCACCCCGAGGGGTGGGGCGCCGAGCCCAGCCCTGGGAGGGAGGCAGACTCTAAGACCCCTTAAAAGCCAAACCATGATAGCCAGCGTGGACCCCAAAGAGTGGCTTCTGGTATACCAGGTGATGTTATTCCCTACCTAGGCTCTGCCTAGAAGGGTTCTTACTCTGTGGGCTTTTGTAAGGGGCCGGGCAGTGGAAAGCGCCCCGGGCGGTTCCCCCAGTATCCGCCCCGCGGTTCCGCTTAGCTTAGCATTGCTTATCTCATCTTAACTTAGCTTATTTCATCTTAGCTTAGCTTAGCTTCATCCTAGCTCAGGTTTACCTTAGCTTAGCTTACCTTCATCTTAGCTTCGCTGAACTTTAGCATATCAGAACACAGCATAGCATAGCGTAGCATAGCGCAGCATAACATATCACATAATAGCCCAGCATAGCATAGCATAGCGCAGCATAGCATAGCATAGCGCAGCATAGCATAGCATAGCATAGCATACCCTACCTAGGCTCTGCCTAGAGGGTTAGCTTAGCTTAGTTTCGCTTAGCATAGCGCAACGCTGCATTAACATAGCATAGCATAGCGTAACATAACCAATCATATCATAGTATAACATATCATAGCATAGCGCAGCATAGCATAACATAGCATATCATATCATAGCATAACGCAGCTTATCATAGCATAGCATATCACAATTTCGCATAGCACAGCGCAGCATGATATAGCATAGCTTAGCATATCATAGCGCAGCATAGCATATCATAGCATATCATAGCATAGCATAGCATAGCGCAGCATAGCATGGCGTAGCATAGCATAGCACAGCAAATAATGCTGCTTTCCTAGGTGCTCCAACTTCTAGGTAGGGTCGCACTGGGGTAATCTGTTTGCTGTTCCTCTTCTTGATGCTCTCTTCTGATTTCACTCCTGAGTGCTCTTCTTGCGTACTGCGGGTCCTTCAGAATGCCAGTCAGCATTGAGTGATCCTGAATATAAACGCCACGTGTATAAAGAAAAGGTTGGGTACGTTACGTCGCAAAGTAATCAAATTGTCTACCGGGCATTCTGCTCAACCAGCCCGCCACCCGGAAGAACGCGCAAGGACGCAGAACGACCTCAAAGTCAAACGACAGTCGCCCCAAAACGGCCAAGATGGCGCAAGATGACCGCCAATACGCCTCCAAGACGGCCAAGGTGGTCCCCAAGACGGTCCCAAGATGTCTCTAAGACTGGTCGAGGTGCTCTTACGATGGCCCAAGATGGCCTCAACATCGCCCAAGACGCCCCTGTCGGCCCAAGAGGCCCCCAAGACGGCCCCAAGAGGGCCATAGACGGCCTAGGAGGCCTCCAAGACGCGCACGATGGTCTCCAAGATGGCCCCAAGAGCGCCCCCCAAGTCGGACCAGAGAGGGCCGCTAGACGGCTTCCGACGGCGTCAGATGGGCCAGGAACGCCTTCAGACAACCAAAGAGCCTCCCAAGAAGCCCCCAAAGGCCCCCAAGAGGCTCAAGGAAGCCCCCAAGAGGCCTTCAAGAGGCCCCCAGGAAGCTCCCAGGAGGCCCCAAGAGAGCCCTCAAAGACTCCCAAGAGGCCTCGTCGTCGTCGTCTTCCTCCTCCTCCTGTTTCCCCCCACGTGCTCTCCGAAGGGTTTCCACAGCAGCTGGGGGAACACGTAGTCCGATAGATTGGCCGAGCTCTGGCCGCAACGTTCGGCCACATACGTAGGCTCTTCCAGAAGGCAGGGGGCTGCGGTGATTCGCCGTAGGCGTCTTCGATCCGCCGCCCCCCCTCCCTCTTCTTGCAAGAGGGACGCTTGGCGCAAATTTGTACATAACCTTTGGGCCCTTCTGAACATGTCAGACACGTTCCCAGTGGCCGCACCCATCAGCCACCCAGCAAAGTCATGACGTCCAGAAATCTCGGTCGCAAGCTGGCCAAGATGGCTCCCAATACGGTCCGAAGACGCCCCCAATACGTCCAGTACAGGATGCCTCCGCGACGGCCCCAGATGGCCCAGGAAAAACGGACGCCGCCCGAAAACCTCCAACCTCGAGCCTCGACCCTCTGCCGCCCGGTCCCAGCGGTCGAACGTGTTGGTGCCCTCGCCGCACGGCGACTTGCGCACGCACAGGCGCAGCGTGCGCGTCGGCAGCCGGACCGGGCCAGCCACGTGCAGCTCCTGGCGGTCCGCGGCTGGCAGCGAGGCGTCGGTTCGGTCGTCCCTCCTCCTCCTGCCTCCTCCCTCCCTGCCTCCTTCCTCTTCCTCCTCCCTCTTCTTTCTCCTCCTCCTCCTCCTCCCGCCTCCTCCCTCTTCCTCCTCCCTCTTCCTCCTCCCCCTCCATCTTCTCCTCCTCCTCCTCCTCCTCTTGCTCTTCCTCCTCCTCCTCCTCCTCCTCCTCCTCCTCCTCCTCCTCCTCCCCCTCCTCCTCCTCCTCCTCCTCCTCCTCCTCCTCCTCCTCCTCCTCCTCCTTCTCCTCCCCTCCCTCTCCCCTCCTATCCTCACTGCTCCTCCTCCTTCTCCTCCCTCCCTCCCTTCCTCCCTGCCTCCCTCCGCTCTCCTCCACCCCTTCGAGGGCGCAGGTCGAGCTCGCACCTGCCCGCCGAGTGCCGCAACCCATGGATGCGGCAGCCAGGGAGGGCCCTCCCTGATTGGGGGCAGCGAAGGGACAGAGGCCCCCTTGGATTCCCAGGAGGAGAAGGTTCGGTTCGGTCGTCCTCGAGGGCGCACGTCGAGCCAGCACCTGCACGCCGAGTGCCGCACCCCATGGACGCGACGTGCGGGGGGGCCCCCCCGAGGGGCCGCGAAGAGACGGAAGCCCCCTTGAGGGCTCAGGAGGAGAAGGTTCGGTTCGGTGGTCCTGGAGAATGCGGCGGGCGGGGTGGGGGGGCCGCGAAGGGACAGGATGCCCGGGAGGAGGGGGGCCGCCTCAAGGCCTAGGAGAGGTAGACGAGGATCGCTCGCTCGACTCGGCATCTCCTGGGAGTTTGGAGCCTGGCCCGCACAGGCGTCGTGGACAACATATCACGATACATACATACATACATACATACATACATACATACATACATACATACATACATACATACATACATACATACATACATACACACACACACATACATACATACATGCATGCATGCATACATGCATGCATGCATGCATGCATGCATGCATACACACACATACATACATACATACACACATCCATACTTACCTACATACATACATACATGAACACATAAATGCATACATACATACATACACACATACATATATACATACATACATACATACGTACACACATACATACATACATACATCCAGACATACATGCACACATACACACATACATACATGCATACGCATACATACATACATACACACAGACAAGCATACATACACACACGCACATACATACATACATAGACACACCTACATACACATACACTCATACAAACATACATACGTACACACTTACATACACACAGACACACATACAACCATACACACATACATGCATACATACATGCATACGTACATCCATACCTGCATACACACATACACACATGCATACACACATATATACATACATACATACAAACATACACACATACATACGTACAAACATACGCACATACACACGTACATACATACATACACATACATGCATACACACATAGTTACGCATACATGCACATACGTACATACATACATCCGTGCACATACTCATGCACATATACATACATACATGCATGCTTACATACAAACATCCATGCATTGATGCATGCATACATGTATGCGTACATACATACATCCATCCATACATACAACCATACATGCATACACATACATACATACATGCATACATACATACATACACATTTCCGTACATACATTCATGCACGCATGCATGCACGCATTCATGCAATCACATACATACATACATGCACACAAACATATACACACGCATACACACGTACATGCATACATGCAATCATACATACATCCATGCAAACACACATACATACATAAACACATGCACACATACAAACAATACCTACACACAAACAGACATACATACACACGCATACACGCACACATACATACAGACATACACACATACATACATGCATACATACATACATACATACATACATACACACATACAGACACACATACATACATACATACATACATACATACATACATACATCCACATATACATATATACATACACACATACACATACACACAGCCAAACATACAAACATACACACATACACACATACATGCACACACACATATACATATATGCATGCATACAAACAAACATATGTATGTACAGACATATCTATATATGCATGGAGGGGAAGGAAAGGGAGAAAGAGGGACAGAGAAGGAGAGGGAGAAAGAGGGGGAGGCACGAGGGCAGGCGGCGCGCCTGCGGACAGTTAGGACGAGAGGCCACGGGAAGGGAAGAGGGAGGTGGGACGCAGAAGAGGAGGAGGAGAAGGAGGAGGAGGAGGAGGAGAAGGAGGAGGAGGAGGAGGAGAAGGAGGAGGAGGAAGAGGAGGAGGTGCAGGCAGGAGGGGGAATAGGAGGAGTAGGAGGAGCGACCGTAACGAGGAGGAGGAGGCTGAGGCTGAGGCTGAGGCGGAGGAGGAGGAGGAGGAGGAGGAGGAGGAGGAGGAGGGGGAAGAAGGATGATGATGAGATAAGACATGAGGCAGGAAGAGGCAGATTGCACGATGCCGGCGACGAAGAAGATGGGGAGGGCGACCACCACGGCGACGCGACGAGGATGTTTTTGGGGAAGAAGGAGTCTCGAGCCAAAACGGTCCGCAGCGTGGCGGCGCGCGCTGGAGCAAGAGGGGAGCCTTGGGCGGAGAGGCTAGGAGGGCGGCCCGCCGCACGCGGGGGCGGCGTGCGCAGGCATGGGGGGCGGGGCGCACCGCGTGCCGGTCGTGGCGACCTGC